CTGATTTATCAGACTAGTAGCAGAGGCCAAGCTGGCCCCACCAGGATTTGAGAGCCATCCTTTGACCACTGAGTTGTCCTTGCTTTTCTCACTCATGGCAGATGGCAAGATCCAAATTCTTACCTCATGGACTTAGTTTCCAGCTTGTTCAGTTCTCTTTCCACAGCTAAAGGCTACGAGATGACCAGGGACATAAACTTGGATTGTTTAACCTACATATTCCAAGCATTAAACCTGTGCAGACTGTTTATATCACTGTAATTACTTTCATACAGGTTGTTAAAGTCAGATTCATTAGCTTAGGTTACAATGACCTATACAACATGCTTAAAACCCATTTATGCTATTAAAGGGATTTAGAACTCACCTCCTTTCATGAGATGTCAGTGATTCTTGATTTATGGTCTGGTCTTGCTTTAAAAGTAAAAGCAATTACCTCTCTTACTATGGTAAGAGCCCACTGCCTCAAGGTTGCCAGAATACATCTATAATTGAACAGCATCAGCTCTGATGTTCAGCTTGAGTGACAAAAGCACTGGCTATTGAAATACTGCCTGTGATGGTGTCTGCAGAGCAGGGAGCACTGCACCAGCTGACAAGTTTTTGCAGGAACAATTGTAGCTCAGGCATCCCAGGATCCACTGTGCAGGGTGTTTCCTGGCAGTGGCAACACTTTCCATTTATGTATCCTCGGAGTTTTGAGAAGCGAAAAAATACCCCACCCGAATTCCCTGTAAGTGCCAGGATCTTTTGTTTGAACGCTTTTCCTTTGAAGCTTGCCTGAGTTTTATTTCAAAGGAATTTCTTTGAGTGTTCCTAGAAATAGGATGACTCCGTGACGCACAACCCACTTTGCTGTTGCATCGTTTTAGGAATCCAGCTGACTTCCAAACCACAGACATAAACGGGGTAAACCAGGCAACACTGTGCCCCCAAAAAAATTTCCCAAGCCCAATCTCTTCAGGAAAGATGTCCAAACTCACATATTTGTCCCAAGCATGGTGCAAATACCATTGGTGCACAGATGGATGCTGATGGCTAGATGTGGACTCTTGGATTCGAGCAAATGCAATGTGACCCATTTTGGTTGTACCTGTGCAATGCTGTGCCCAGGGTGGTAAATCTACAGCAAGAGCAGCGTGTTTTGACATCATTGACATCTGAAAGTTTCCTGGAAGCATCCTCTTGATATAAAGAATACACACAAAAATTATAATGGCTTTTCATACGCAACTGTAAACAAAAAACCCCCCATACATGCCAGGGCACACACTCAGAGGAACATGGAAGTTAATCCCTCTCTTCTGAAGGCAGCACAGACTCAAACTGGCAAAATCTAAAATACTTTAGTTTAGAAATAACTAAACTCCTGTTTATGCTCATTAAATTAGACAATGTGACTATTCCCTTTCTCCCTATCCCTGTTTTTGGCCTCTGCTGGTGAGAAATGGGTCTGCCCAACCTCCTACAGAGCTTGAAAGCAGTTTTAGGATTAATCCTTGTCCCTGCATGAGTCCATAACCTTCAGTGACCTGGAGCTCTCCATTCCCCTACACCATCACTTTTATCCAACTCAAGCCCCCCCCCCGTCAGAGCTCTCATTTCCTCAACCCTTTTCCTTACCTCCAGCCACATGGACAGTCCCACACATTAGTACTTCTCAAAATGCAGAGATGACCCCTTAGCAAGTGACCACCAAAACGTCCCCATCGTGGCCAGCCAGTGACACAACCTCAAAAATGCACAATATTTTACCTCTCTTCCCCAGCTTGCAATGCTAGCAGCACACATTAGGCATGGCTGTCATCAGGGGCCCCATAAAGAGGGCAAATGGAGCCAGAATAAAAAAAAAAAAGTTATAAAACCAAATTGCTTTATATCTCACCTTCTGTCTCACCAAAGCTGCACGTCTTAAAATCAATTCTTTACATGAAGTAAGAACCTATGTCAGGCACAGCAATGAATGCAGAGTAGGAGAGTGGGAGCCCCGGGACACCAGCCAGGGATTTGCTTGGTAAAAAGCATCTGACAGCATTTACTTCTTGGTCAAACCTGCATTCCAGAGGCTGGATCAGAGGGATGTGTATAAAACCTGCTCTTTAACCGTGATTTCCACAGTTTATAAGCCCTTTTAAATATACACATGTGTGTTTTTAATATATACACACTTGATTGGTGTGGGGCATTAGGTGATGGTTTACAGTATTATTTAGTAGTCCTTTTTTAGGGCCACAGCCAATTTCTTTAATTTCTCAGGTGCTTTCCTTCACACCATATGCATTTTGTTAGAAATGTTATCTTTGAAAATAGGCCCAAACCGTGGCAGTTAATCTGAGGTTTTTAATACATCAGTTTCCACTGCCAGAACTAAATATCCTCTCTTCCCACCCCTAAAATACCTTTGCATTAGATCAGCCTTTATGGTAAGAGAAAGAGCATAACACCCAGACATTTGTCCTCGAGAGCACAAGCACTAAAATCCACAGGGTCTTGTTGGCCACAAACACATGTGATTTATTCTGCAGTTCTCCCAGTCTCACAGTTGGGATTGTTTGCAATACAAGCCCTCAGCAAAAGAAATCTACTTCTAATACTATGGCCCATTAAATGACACATAATTTGATAATGTGTTACAACAGAATTATCTTTAAAACACAAAGTAAGATTCCCTGTAGGAAAAAACTAATAGCAATCTTTGATACCACAGTTGTTTGAGGTTTGCTAAAATATCTTTGTAGTTAGGTGAAGAGATATAAAATGACTATTCAGGATAGAAATTTCTTGGGAAATAAAAGTTAAAAAAAAATAAAATTAAGTCAAAACTTCCAAGTAAATGCCTAGTTTGATATGTCTGAAATGTGCAAGATAATATTCCCATTAAGAAAGTCAAGGGGAGAGAAAAAAATTACATTTTATAACCACAGCCAGATAACAAAGCAACAATTAAAGATTGTTATGAAGATTGGTAGGCAAAACAGCTAACTGACTGCTAAGAGAATTTTGGTTGTATAATGTAAAATGCACCTAAGGGCAAAATTACAGCCCACAGAATTTACACGTAAATTGGGTGTGAAGAGAAAAACAACCATCTCCATCCAGGATGGAGACAGAGATAGGCTGACAGCCAGCAAGTTCCCTCACCCAAAGGCAGCCACAATTCAGAGGTTGCCACCCATTATGGCACTCTCCTTTCCTTCCAGCTCACAAGCTGCCCCTGTGCCAGCTGAGATCATGTCCTGCCAAAACAGGGCACCAATTGCCATCTTGGCTCTTTTCCCTGGAGAAGCTCCCACCACATTCCTCCTCAGTGCTCTCCTGCTCTGGGACCAAGGGCAGCCCAGGAAGGGAGGGAATGCAGCCCTGATTCTCAAAAAGCACAAAGAGTCAGACAAGACAGAAAGAGTCACAGCCATGCAGTCACTAAATATTTTCTTTTTAATTAAGCCTTTCTGCTGACACATAAAAAATTAGGGAAATAGATAAAGGAAGAAATTGGCAGAGAGAGAGAGAAATAGTCCCAGATTTTCTGAGTTTAAAACATTTTTTGTCACACTTCCCCAAAGGAAAGCAAAAGTCTGTAATCAGGGGACTGATACAAAGCTGCCTGGTGATAAACCTCAGTAGCAAAAGCAGTAATTGTGACACAATGTACAGGACAGGGGGATTTCCCCACTGGGGCAAAGATTAAAAAGATGGCCCAAGCCCTCTGAGCATCCTCTGTGCATTTACAGGAGACTTGCACTGATGTAGAAGACCCAGGAAGGTGACTGAATAAACACTATAAATGCAAATTAAATAGCGATTTTGTCCAGTTGGCTGCAAGAGGACATCACACCACTAGGATTATGACAGAAGTTGCTCAGAGAGGAAAGGAAAAGTGTTCATCTACATTTAAAACCCAGAATGTGATCACTTTTAATTTTTCAGCACTTGAAAAGAAATGCATCACCTAGAATGAATTTAGAGAAGGGGAGCAACCACAGTCAAATTAGAAGATGGACACTGGTCTCCAGTAAAGCCAACATGGAGACTGAGTGAGCACAAACTCCCCCCAAAGCAGAAGGAGACAAGAAGGTATCAGGAGAAATGGGCAACAACATGACTTCTTGTGAACCCATAACTGAGTGAGGAATAGCACAAAAAGCAGAAGTGAGGTGAGACTTTACTGATAATTAGATATGCACAGGCACATGCAGGCAATGCACAGAGAGACCCAGACAGCCACATCAAATCAGCAGCTGATACACTTACTATGACACTCACTATCACTGTAGGAAGGAAATTGTTTATTTCTTCACAAAGGTCTTGATCTGTCTTCATTCATTCCCCCCCCCAACTAATTTATGTTGCCTAGTCAGCAAAGAGAACATATTCTAAACTTCACAATTATACATCACAAAACTTGGGGGGGGGGGGGGAAATACAATAATTTCACAAGTTCAACAGCAACAGAACCAAAACCTCAAACATATTAGGCTGCAGCTGCACTGGGAAAGACTTTTATTAGACATTTCTAAATGCCTCCAAGGATAGGAATATATGTAACTCCTTATAACATTTAAGAAGGTTATTGACTCTCAAGGTTGTTTTGTTTTCAGAAATAGGCTATGCATCTGTCTGTGTGCTGGTGATGCCTTGTGAAGCTGACAGGCACCATATAATTTGTGAGATACCTTACACAGAAGGCAGGATTTCATCATCATCATGGCCAGGCTTCATGAATGAAGATTTGGGAAGGACTCCACCCACATTTGCTACAAGCACACTGGTGGCTAAAGAGGCCAGGATATAAAGACATAGGAAAACACTGAAATTCCTCAAAAAATGCCCCATCTGGGAATAGCTTTCTATTTCTGTTTATGCACTGCTTTTCCACATTACTCTTAACACAAAGATTTACCTCTTTGCAAGGCAGTGTAAATTCAACTTAACAAAGACAGTACAATAAATAGAGTTTTTCCCAGCTATCTCATCAAGTGAGACAAATGCTGATGGACACCTTAGAGGTTTTTGCTCTCATCTTCTGATGTTCTCTGCTCCCTTGGAACAGGCTCAGCACTCAGCATCTTGCTAATGAAGAAGTCATAGCACCAGAGAGGGAAGCAGCAGAAGATGCAGAGGAGCAGGTAAGCCCCTTTGCCAGGGGTGTACAGCCCGTGGGGTCTCCTGGCCAGCAGAGCGTGCAGGACATCACCCAGCACAGGGGACAGGTCGGGGTCACAGCAGGCAGGCATGTGGAGGAGGTAGCTCCTCAGCCCCTGGAGATAGTCCTCACCATAGGCCTGCCTGGTGTCTGCTGGGAGGTTCTCCATCAGCTCCTTCTCCTGCTTATCCCACAGGTCGGATGTGCCTTGTATACCTGCAGTAGCAACATCACAGGATAGCAAGTGGGTTTGGGGCTGAATATTAAAAAAATCATCTGAAATTCATAGTCAAAAAGTTGTTTTCCATCACCAATCTGATTCACAATTGTTCTGAACTGTGTCAGTGAAGAAGAAACACCACAGCTGGTTACTGCAAGGGTTTTGACTTGGAGAAGAAAGGAAAGCACAAAGTTCAGACTACACAAAAAGCATAAGGTTCATGCATCACTTGGTTACCAACTCTACCTAAAAAGGCTCCCTCACAGCCAAGTCAGCATTTTTTCTTTTCCTCTCTTCCAGCCCTTTGCCATTCTGTCCTTATTCATTTTCTGGTTGTTTCCAATCAATATTTATTAACAGATGTCAGCAACTGAGGACAGACAGGCAAACTAAGATGAACAGGATTCAGCTGGGTTGACCAAGTGCTAAGCTCCCCTTTCACAAGTGACATTAGTATTTCAATAACTAATTTCATGAAGGATGAGCCTTGTGTTAGGATAGATTTAAAAATATAAATAAATCTATTTTTCCACCCCATCTGCATCATGCAGGAATGAAAGCAGTGGCTTCTCCAATACAATTATTGCCTCAACATCAGGAATTAAGCATTACAAATAAAGAAAAATCTTTAAATAAATATTTAAATCTCAATTCCCAGGACTCATTTTGATCCATGAGTCTGAGCAGTGCTAAGCAGGGCCCTGAAGGTAAAGCCTCAGGCAGGTTCCACTGACCACACAGGGCTGTCAGAGCCCAGTGCCCCACAGGGCCCCTCCCCAGGAGGGGAAGCATTAGGGGAAGGGACATTTTATGAAAAAGACCACTTTGCTTTTAATCATCATAAAAATTGTCTCTATGAAGTCACCAGGGCTTGCTGAGTAGGGAGCAATGGGATTTGATGTTGTCCTCAGATAGCTGCCAGGTGTGCCCACAGAACAGGGACCTGTGTGACACCAGGGAGGCACAGGGTGTAGCAAGGGCACCTGCAGCAGGAGATGAGTCTGGAACCCAAACAGGCTCTGCAAGGAGTGCTTGGATCAGTGGAAGGAGGAGAAGGACTTGGAACAGAAAGCTGCAGGAGCACAATAGAGGGAAGGAGAGGAAAGATCAGAGGCTACACAGAGTGGTATCGACAGCAGGTAAGCAGGATGACAGGTATTGCTGCAGATACTGCCATGCAGGATGGAGCAGCTCAGTAAGGAGAGCTCTGATGCTGAGGAAGGCAGGACTGACAGGGAGACCTGGAGCTCTTATGCAGAACAAGCAAGTCCTAACACCCAAATCAAACACACTTGGTTCATCAGCTTCAACCAAGCTGGAGCAAAGGGAAGGCACCAACTGCCTGAACTCACAGCAAAGACAGCTGTGCCCAGGAGAGGCAGAGGCAGGCAGTGTGCTGTACTGGAGGGAGTATCTCTCACAAAAAAACACAGATCTTAATTTTCATAACCAACATGAAGAATAGCAAAAAACGTCTGGCTCCTGGACATCACTCAGGGCTCTGTTGGAGGACGCTGGACTACGGGGAAAGAGGAGAGGCAGAAAGAACAACCCAAGATGTCAAACACCAACCTGTTCTGAAGCCCGACGGATGAATTGCAGCAACTTTAATTCCCCATTTGGAAAGCTCTTGCCTCATTACTCCAGAAAACATGGACAGAGCTGCTTTTGATGCGCCGTACGCAGCATACCTCGGTAGTGGAATGCCTCCTGCAGGAGCAATATAAACATGATAAACTTCAGCAGTGGCTCTTTCCAGCCTTTATTTTCATGATTTAGAAGGAAGATTATAGCACAACAAGAATTATGCGTCTCTCACTGAGGTTAAAGACAAGTCAGTGAGGGAATCATTTCTTGTTGGAGGTTAAAAAAGAGTGAAAGTTGTAAATTAACAGTTGCTTATGGCAGTTATGAGTAGTAACACCTGATAAGACACCTTGTAGGGCAGAAAAATAAACTGTATTGCATTTAAGGATAAAAACTGCTGAAAGTTATGACTGTTGGTTTGAGAAACACAGATAATGTTTTAGTTCATACAAATAATGAAGCAGTAGTTTTATGCTCCTGTTCTCGTCGCTGTAACATGAATTTCAAGCTCCTACAATAAACCATAGTTAGAACAGGGTAAGTAATCTCAATTCCAGCTTTATAAAGCCAACTTATTTTCCTCTTCTTTCCAGACAGTTTCAGAAAGACCAGAGACAACAGTGCAGAAAACCTCTGTGTACAAATCAAAGCTGGAATCTCACTCTGCAGGTGACAGGACTTCCCCAAGACCCATCATAGAAGCAGATTCCCAGCCTATAGTTATAACTCATCTGCTCCAATCCCAGAAGCATTTGTCCACATGAAAAAGATAAGAAAGCAGACAATATTTTTGGTGAACTTAAAAGAAATCTCTATGTTTACAAAAACAAGCTTCCAGAAAACAAAATTTTCCAAATCAGAGATTTCCTCTGTCCCGGAAACCATCAGACTGTCCCTTATCCAGCTTTAGAAAAATCCATGCTTTGGTTTGAACATATTGTCCTTCTTCAGCCCTCCCACTCTGTGTTATCACCACACAGAGCAGCTCTGCCAGGATTAGGGTCATCACAGCCACCACGGGCTGCGCTGGCAGCAGGGAGGAGGGGATGGAATGGATGGCCCTTCTTGAGGCATATCCCTCCTCCTGCCTGCATGGCCAGTTGGACATACCCTCCCATACAGCCTCTGTTTCACGTATTACACATTCACCTCAATGTGTTTGAGTCCTTTAAAAGAAAAGACTTGGATACAGGGGAATTTTCAGGTAAGCCACCAGTGCCTTCTATCGGGTATTGCACTGCAAAGACGAGGGTATCATCTTCTTACACAGAATCATTTCTTTAAAGAAGCCAATTATTTGTTAATTATTCTTCTGTATGCACCTGAATAAGCTGGAGTTTCAATTGGTTTGAGCCAATTGAATCACATACTTTTCCCTTTGAGGTCAGGCTAACCTGGGTCCAGTTAAATGAGCTCTACACAGACAGGAAGAGATTCGGCACAATGAGACCTCACTGACTTTTCCACTAATGTTTTACTAAAGGACCCTCAGACCCTGCATTAAGAAGAAGCTATTCACCCAAAGCAGCCTGCAGGCAAGAACATCTCTGCAAACAGCTATAGTTTAAGCAGGGTCATTATCAACTCCTGTAAGGGCAAATTACTCAGCACAGGGAAGCTCTCCATTTATCCCTGCAAGGCAGCTCAGGGATTCGTGCCAAGAATTAAGACATCTGCCCCAAAACACCAGTGCAGGCTTCACCTGGGCACCCAGAGGAAACAGAGGTCTGGCCTCAGCCTCTGTGCTTGCAAGAGCTGGTGGGCAAAGCAGCACCAGAAAGGTCCTTCTGATAATTCCGTCCTGATTTCTTAAAGTGTCAGCAATGAACTATGAACACACACTCATACAGGCAACTGTTACATAAAAGAGTTTGCTCTGTTTACACTGATACTGTGAGAAGAACATAGGAGTTATTCTGTATCATCATTTAAGATATTTAAATATTTAAGACCTTGTTAAGTGTTTTCACAAGAAGATTACAGCTCTCCATACATTTTAAATCTGGAAGATTCAAGACAGCTTTATTGGGGGCAATTGTTTTAATATGGAGAAACTTCAATAGTAATTAATAACTGAAACAGGCAACATTTTTCTTGCTAACATTTTACCTGGAACTTTCTTACCCTGAGCCTGCCTTGTCTGTTTTCTCACTTCCATATAGTTTCCCTATAGATACTTCCTTCACCACCCACCCCAACTCTTTTTTTTTGTAAATTAATTTAATTTTCACTTGTAGCACCCATCCAACCAGGCAAGGGAAGTTGCAGGAGTTGGAGAAGATAACTTCTGAAACAGAGCTCCCTGTGTGATTAGTACCAGAGTAGTACACCTGGGCCTTCCTTTTGAGTTCAAAATTCTCCTCTCAGGCTCTTCCTCTGGGCTGGACTCTTTATAGCAGTCACCAGAGAAATTACACTTATGCAAATCCTTGTATAATTTCTAAAATTGTGCATGAAGGAAAACAGAAGTTCTCACTGCAAACATGCAGATATAGAACATCTTTGGGATTATAAAGAGAATACAGTTTACAGTGTCAGAGCCAGACTGCAGCCACATCCTCATGTAAGCTGTGAACACCAGGTCACACCTTCACAAGCCACCCCAGCAATACAGCAGGATTTGGGTGGACTCCAATTGTACAGAAGGGTCCAAGCAGATAGAGCAAAGGAAAATTTGGGAAGCACATGATACAGTAAAGACTTAAGAATTCTGAAACCAAAATACTTTCCAGCAGCATGACATCCTGCTTCTAGCAGGTCTCAGTTTCAAAGGAGCATTCTTACTCCTCAGCTGTTGGCTACCAGATAATGTATTACATTACTTCCTACATATTGGCATCTCAGCTGTCCTCCTAGAATAGCAGGACATGTTATACATATATATAGCATGAACAATTTAGGGGAAAAAACTGGAAAGCACAGGGTAATTTTTTTTAAAAGGTTGTAGGTTTGGGGTTTGGGGTTTTTTAATAAAAATTTACCACTTAGCTAATAAGTTAGGCCTAGGGATTTCTAAGAAGATATCCAAAATATTTTTAAATAAATATAAACAGAAGCTCTTCAGCTCCCAGATTATCAGCAGATATCACACACTGAGGTGGTCACAGACTTCCACCTGAACATGTTATAGAAATATCTGTGAGGTACCACCCATCTTTATGGAAGCTCACAAAGTTATCACTCATAGCATCTAGAACACAAGATCTGAATTTTACTGTCTTTTCTGTCACAGAATACTTTTAGCCAAACTAAACTCTTCTTTAAAAGCTGTTTTCTGGAAACAGTCTCTCAAACAAAAAAAAAAAAAAAAAAAAACAAAAAACCTGAACTCATTCCCTTAATATTAATTCCCTGGGTGTATAGACAAGAAAGACTGACTGATACCTTCCTCAGCACTTCTGCCAAGGAAGTTCACTGTTTTTTCTGTTGCTCCAGAAATTTATCTGGTGCTTTGGCTCAGCTCACCTGCCATGCTGGACATGTTAACCAGCCTCCCCTGTGACTTCCGAAGTAACGGTAAGAAGGTCTTGGACAATTCCACAGCCCCAAAGAAATTCACCTCCATGCACTGCCTGTAGTTGCTCATGGGGAGCAGCTCACCATCAGCAGGGAAGCCCAGGATGCCTGCATTGTTCACAACACCCCAGAGTCCTGGGAAGAGGAGAAAGCACAGAAAATACACAGCCAAAAAGCAGGAAATCAACGGCATAAGGATTACACTGATGAGAGGGATGGTGCCTCCGGACAGAAGCAGAGATGATCTGCAGCTGCAGATACACATTCCCCACTCCATGAACAGTCATCACCATTCTCCTATGTCCCAGAAAGCAGGAGTCATCAATGGAAATATCCTGGCTGCCCAAGGTTGTGCCATGGAAATGACCTACACACACAAGCCATGATGCAGCCAACAGTTAAGAGATGCACCTGGTGAGCAGCTACACTAATGCTCCCACTAAAATGGAATAAAAGCTGTACCTGTACTTTGCACCTTCTCTGAGACTTTCAGGTAGGCTTCCTTGACTTGAGTGGCATTGGTTACATCCAGCTGCAGGAGAGAGAGTCTCCCAGAGCAGCTCCGTCGCAGTTCCTCAGCTCCAGGTCCGTCCTTATCCAAAACCCCAGCAAACACAACAAAACCTAAGCTATCCAGGTATTTAGCCAGTGCGTGTCCAATCCCGGTGTCGCTTCCTGAAAGCATCCAAAAGACACTTGAAAAGTGGGTCTGTCCTATACTGTCATGAGAAGAAAAAAAAAAAAAGTAAAAAAATACACACATTGGAAATCCATGCAAATGTAAACAAACAGATGATGGCAAAGTCCCTGAAATGCATATGTCAGTAGGAAAAGAGGTTCAGATCTGAAGGTTGGAGGAGCTGGACCTCTGAATGTTCCACAAAGATTGACAGATCACGTTCTCTTGGCTCAGAGCTGATGGCACCAGCTCGTGCTCTTCCACTGACAGATTCTATGAACTTGCTTCACATATACAGAGGAAATAAAACCCTAGATTGGTTTTATACAAATATGCAGTCCCAAACCTGATAAAAAAAGTATCTAAGAAAAAAAAAAAGAAAAAACACACAAATGTTTTAATTTGAAATCTCTGATGGACAAAGAAATTATAGGGCATTTTTCCATTCAAATTCTTGGGTTCTATTTTTTAATTCAAAAAAGGAGCATTGTTTTATTCAAACATCTACCACCCAGATCCCTCTGATAAGCACTTTTCTCTTACAGTTTGTAACCAAGACAAAGCTAAGCAACTGTTTCTTTACCTGCAAAGGAGTTCAATGCTTTCAAACCCTAAGAAAGCTTCAGAATAGCATCTTCGTGCTAAGTCAGCTATTTAATTCATTCAAACTTGAACCAGAATTTCTCTTATCCTCTCTATGCTCTTCCCAACTTATTCTCAGACTTTGTCTATATGAAGCAATGACCCACCAACTGCAGGAAGCAAACACACAATGGCCTTTGGGATCACAGTTGTGCAATTCCTCCCACCAGGCACAGATGATGAATATTTAACAAATAATTTGATTGATTCACAAGTCTCTCCCTTTGTTGCTGCTATTGAAAGAATCATAGAATGGTTTGGGTTGGAAAGGACCTTCCAACCCCCCTGCTATGGGCAGGGACACCTTCCACTAGAGCAGGTTGCTCCAAGTGCCATCCAAAATGGCCTGGAACAATTCCAGGGATGGGGCAGCCACAGCTTCTCTGGGCACCCTGTACCAGGGCCTCACCACCCTCACAGGGGAGAATTTCTTTCTAATATCCAATCTAAACCTACTTTCAGTTTAAAGCCATTCCCCCTTGTCCTGTCCCTCCCTGCCTCTGTCAAAAGTCCCTCCCACAGCTAGAGACGGGGAAGGAGTTTATAGGGTCTGTGCATCAGGAGTTTTGCAAAGGATATCATGAGGAAAATGAGGAGTTGAAGACATTAATACAGTTTTTGCACTGTAAACAGAGACACATCAGCCTGTTCTGCACCACACCCTCCACTGTAACCAGGGCAAAGAAAGCTCCTGGAGATGCTGCTCTGCACCGAGATCCACCGAGCTACCCCAGGGCTTGACTATCTCCTGCAACAGCAATTTACTACATAAACACCCAGCTTCCAAACTCTGGAAACCTGAATGTGGGACAAAGGACTGGAACTCCTGCCAGTTTTTTTACTGTTTTCCTGTTTATGAAAGAGCTGCAATACTCCCTACTTAACCCGACCATAAACTTCTAAGGGTTAGTCTGTGATTTCAGCACACCAGGGCAGATACAATCACAGTTATTCACAGGTCTGCTCCTGCACTCAAAGTCTAGTCAATAGAATTTGACTGCCAAGGAGACTCATCGCAATCAGGTTAGATCTTAATTTCTGGATTCTGTCTTTTAACTGGGGCTTTAGTTCTGAAAGGTGAAAAAAAATTAATTCCAGGTGGCTTGAAGGAAACACATACCAAATGCCTGGATCAATCAGTGCATGATGCAGGAAAGGATTACTCATGCTCTATTTAATTCCTTAAAAGAAAATGCATCTGTTTTTTTGGCATTTTAGAAGTCTGCAATTTGTTGAAGATGCAGTAGAGTATTACAAGTATCACATTAAGCTTCTCCAGTCCTGACCTGAAAGAACAAACCTGCATTCTTGGAATTTCCTTAAGAGACATGAAGAGGCCTGCAAATATCCCAGAGACATGACAGATTTCTAGGTTTGGGGGTGGAGCATCATTCTTTCTTTTCCTTTTAGTGAAAAACCCTACTTTTGGGTCAAATCCTTCCCTTTTCATCCTTCCCAGAAAGTACACAGCCACAGCTAAATACTATTTAAGTTTTACAATGCAGCTTTAACTGGAGAGTGGGCAGAGTACAGCTTGAACGTGGGACTGGGGTAGCAATCCTGATAAGGAAATAACAGTAGTGTTTATCTGTGCCTGATACTGGGTTTGTCCCTGGCCTTTTTTGGGGAAAAAAAAAAAAAGTATGATTTGAGTTTCAGACCTGTTTCTGAAGTCCTGAGAAACTTTACACTTCAACTCCTAGAATTTAAACAGTAGTTCGGTCTCTATAGGGAAAAAAAACATATAATTCCCCCTCAACCACACTCCTGCAAGAGTCTTGTCTGAAACAATTTGTGAATTATGAGAGGATTTATTGTAAGGAAGGCAGTCACTACTGACTGTAAGTGAGTCATTACTGAGAATTTATGATTGACTCATGCTGAGCATAAAACACCGAATCACACACCAAGAATGGAAAGACCAAATTGACTGGAGAAATTCATCCCACAGCTCACAGAAAAACTGAGGACAGAATTCCACAATTCCTGTTATTTTGGATCTTCGTGGTAATTTAATTTTTAGGGAAGGTGGTTATTGGGTTTACCAAACTACACTAAAGTGTTCACATGCCCAGGAGCTTCTGTTTTAGGACACTGTAGCACTCAGTCCCAGCAAGAGGATCAAGAGAAGAGTTCCAGCAACAGGTCTAAGCCTGCTCACATGCCCATAATTATTCATGTGGAAAAGCACTTTAACAACTGGGCACAGTCTTCCCTTATCCCAGTACTCCAGTAACTGTGGGACTAAATAATGCACAGCAGCACCAGCACCTCCCTCCATCCAGAGAGGACCAGAACAATATAGGACAAAATCCAGGGAGAGAAGCAGAGATTACTCCAGCCTCTGGCCAAAGGCAGCCAGAAACTGTGGCAGCTGCCCAGAAACAGCCACATTCCTCAACCCTGAGGGGCTGAAAGGGGGAGGGGGGGGAAAAAGAATCAAAAATCACCATTTTCCACAAAGTGCCTGCCTCAGGTCTTGTTTAAACTGGAGAAAATTACACCAAAATCTATTTAAAGACACCTTGCAGATGCACATGGATACATGCCCTATAGTTGGTATGGGGAAGAATACTACAATCAGAACAATTTAACCAAGACACATGCTCAGTAAAACTTTTGTTTCAGTAGATAGAGGGCTTGACTGATTGCACAGGATTCAAATAAAGACAAAAAATAGCCTCCTCAAATAAATCAGCCGTCAGAGATGTCCAAACTTAGATTTCTTCAGGACAGTTGCAGCACATTCACTGACTGGACTTTAACCAAATGTTCTTTACTCCCTTATACCATCCTAATTCAGATCCTCCAGAGCAGGTAAGCTCCCAGAGAGTGTTTTTTCCTGAAGATGTGCAGTCTTACAAAGAGCAAGGAGATGCCCAAGTGCAAGAGCAACCCCTGAGCCTGCAGGGGTGGGATAGGATTGCTCCCAAATTCCCCCTGCCAATACCCATCTTCATCTGATACACCTGCAGGGAGAAACCCAGTTGGCAGATAAACTGCAAGGGCAGAACTTGCCCCCTCTCAACTTTTATATTTAATCCCCATATTAAAGCTTGCTAGGCAAATCTAAATTATTTCCAGGTGTCTCTATAAAACAAAATTAAATTCTGCAAGAAAATGCTATATAAACCAAAACAACTTAATTCAGCTTTCCAGAGGGGAAAAAGAAAAAAGCAAACCAGAAAATAAAACAAAACCCAGCAAATTAACAGTGCAAGAAGCAGTTGGCAGGCACTCCAGTTTAAAGGTTTGATTAACACAAACAAAAAACATCTAAATAAACAACATCTAAAGTTTTACAAGAAATAGGAGAAAAGCCACAACACTAGAAAAATGCCCATCCCTGCAAAATAAAAGTGTCTTTTGAGTAGAGCAGTGTTAATAGATACTGAATTAATTAGCTCTGAACTTTCACTGCTAGTGAAGGGAATTAATCCCTCATGAATGATTTCACACATTGTTTCAAAGAGATGGCACCAAACCAGTGTCTTGAAATATTTGCATGATATACAGTGTGCACTGTGTACACACACACCCCTCCAAAGATAACTAACTGTACACCCATAACCAGCACAATACATTCAATTAAACAAAAGTAATGAATGAATGTACTGTTCTGAGGGCTCCCACAAATTAATAAGTCTCTCCTAAAAAATTAGACCACCCTAAGTATTCTCATGCTTTTTGCACCAGTTAATTTCACAACCATGCCTAAAAAGCTACTTGTAAAGATTAAATGAGACACTAAAAAAATAATAGCATCTATTAAGATGCTTTTCTGCTTAACTTCAGAACATTTATTTACCTAGGGGGAAAAAAAAATCTCTGCCAAAGCAAATAAAACAAGTAAAAAAAAAAAAAATAAAAGAACTCTTACAAGCATGCACTTTATAGATCCCTAACCCGAGGAACACAAAGTTTTCCAGCCCACTTGTGAGAAAAGCCAGTTTTTGTTTCCTGCAGCACCTTACCTGTGACGAGCACGGCTTTGTCACCCACGGGCAGCAGAATTTGGCCGCCCAGGTACGTGGAGGAGATGAGGCACGTGGCCAAGAAAACCACCAGCCCCCCAGCAGCCCCCAGCAGGGCCACGCAGAGCAGCCCCAGCAAGGCAGGCAGGAGGCTCCAGACCAGCACATTTGCTTTGTCCATGGGGCTCCTCTCGGCCCTGCAGAGCGCCGTCACCCCAAAAAGCGCGATGACACCTGCGCAGAGCCACCCAAGGGGGCTGCTGGCCAGAGCATCCATCAGCTGGGGTGGAGAGCAGGCACTCACACCCCACCACCGGCTGGGTGAAAGCAGGTATTGCTAAATGCAGTGTGTGTTATATAGGAGCAGGGGGTGGGGCACAGAAAGGGGACTCTGTTTAAAGGTTTGACATAATCTCACTTACCCTTGGCATCAGCAAGAAGCAGAAGCCTTCCCTTTCTTACCTTTCATTCCTTCTGCCTGACAGCTCCACCTTCTGAACAATATGCTGGCTGGATAATGATTGACAGCAATGGGAATGGATGTGATGTAGCAAGCGCTGGCTCCAGGAAAAAAATTAACTGCTAAATTTTTTATATCTTCAAAGTACATTTTCCTGGACGGTGAAAAAAAGAACAGTCTCCTTTATGAGAAATAGTTGGAATTTCCTGCCTCAAAACTTAGGGTGTAGTTTTGGTGGAACTGGCTTTCAATGGGCAATGACAAAAATGAGTCGGGACAGGGTTTTTTAACCTCTGCAGCACAAACTGTGTGGTTACTGTTGGGCTTTATCACACGTGGAACACCCTCCTCTGTCAACAAAAAGCCTCAAATGACTCTCCCCACTTTAGTGCCCACCTTTGGCTATTTACCTACTCCACATTCAGCAAATACCTACAGACCCAGGGGGGTCTGGGAGGCTGGGAAGGGGTGACTGCTGGTTTGCCATTAGGGGCACTTTGTCAGGTGAACACATGTAACACACCTGAGGTTGAATCTTCACTCGACCTCCAGTGGTGACATTCACCTCAGTTTTGACAGGAATCCCTGGCTTGATACCCACAGCAAGCTGGGGGGAAAAAAGTAACCAATTAAGTATACTTGAGAGATTTAACACCTACTGTGCTGTAATCTGAAAGTTATTTAAACAATAAGAAAATTTTAAAAGCCAGCCAACCAAAAGGATTGAAATACAACTTAAGCATATTTTTATGTTTAAAAATCCCCGCTAATTGGTTTGAGAGACAAGTCTAGGTTATGACAGACCCAGCTGGTTTTCCAAAAGAAAATGTAGTGCTGGCCTATCTGATTTCAGACACTGAAGATTGAAGCATGCTGCAAACCTGACATGAGACAGCCCATTTCCACATTTCCATTCCATCATGCCTTTGGGGTTTTATGAGATTACAAATCTGTTGAATATACACTTTTCCAGCCAGTGGAAATGTTTACATACCCCTATAGGTAGTTTACATTAGAGATTAGGTCACTTTCTTAAAGGAACATTACCCTCCAGGTCTGTTCATCATCCATGACTGCTGTGAACACTCATCCACCTATCCTCCCACCAGTGCACAAAGTGTGAACTGTATTCACTTTTCTTTGCCATCTGCTGCTTCTGCTTTTAGTAGTATGCTGGTCTTGAGGTCAGTTATACTTTGCTCTCCATTAAGGCATCTCCTTAAATATTCTCTTGGGGAATTTTGCTCTCTCCATCATTGGTCTCTATCCCATGATTTAGATGATCTCAAAATTGCTGGCATTTAAAGCAGGCACTCTCACACTTTGGGATACAGCGAGATGAAGCTTTTCCATAGCGGGATGAGGGGCAGAAGTGATCACCTCCAGCCCTGTGTCTGCCCTGCCTCCCCTCAGCCTGTGGGGATGGGACAGAAGTGGGCAAAGGGCCAAGCTGTGGTGGCCACCATGTCTGGCCCCTGCAGAGCAAGCTCCAAGCTCCATCCCTCTGCTCCCTGCTCCCCTGCCACGTCCCCCACTGAAATGTTTAGGTGCACGTGCAAATCTCCTCCCTCAGACACTGACTCTCAGTGTGGGGGGGTGGATGGAAAGCTGGGGATGCCATATGCATGAATTACACACCTACCTGCTGCTGTGCACTGACACAACACCTGTCTGCACCCACAACGCTGCAGAACAGCTGTGGGAAGGGCTGGTGGGGACAGATCCCTTCTGAATTATCACTGAAATTATATTTTTAATATAAAATATAACCACCGAAGGCTTCTTCTAATGAGAAGCTGACCATGTGTTCACCCTGGTGTGGGAATAGAATTGTATATAAGTGCAGAGATCACACACAGATTGCTATCAGAAAGGAGGGTATGATCTAAAACTGGCTGAGAAATGCTAATGTGGAGTACCCACTTCATGAGGACTCTGCACTTTCTCTGACAGCATCAATGCTTGAGGATTTTTCAGCAGAATTTTGCAACAAGACGAATTTTACCATCTCGTGCCAACTACTCATCTTGAAAAAGCACCTACTTTCCTCTCTACCTCTTTGGGATGTTTCCAGCTGTCCCAGCTGTACGGCAACACAGGATTGCAATTGTGTTTGCATTATTTCCTATTTCCCTATGCCATGCCTACTCATGCTATGAATGCACGTCCTTATCTCACCTCCTTCTTGTTAGTTTTGCTAGAAAAAAGATGGCTCCTCCAAATTATCAGGACGTTGCATCAACATGACATCTGTGTTATGAGGAGTATGGATTGAAGTTAACTGATGTAGGGCTGAGCTCCGTCTACCTTTGCCAGGACATCTGTCTTCCTTTCCAGCTTATCAGAGCCATCTCACAGTGCCCTGTCCCTTTATACCCTGTCAATGTACAGAATCTATACTAAACCCTGAATTCCATAACCAGTCCATGCCAACACCAAACAGCAGCAAACAATTCCAAGCAGCCTCTGAGCTGAACCGGCTGCTGTGCCTTTGCTTACCCTCACTGAGCACTCTGTGCATGTTTCTGATGTTTCTTCTTGGGACTTTGCAGATCCCAAGCATGCCCCACTGTGTAAGTGTCTTCATCCAAGTGATGACTTCTGGAGGTCAGTTAAAGCAATGGCAAAAGAAGATGCCTCTCATGGAGAACGGTCACTCTGTGGTAATTTGCAGTGTGATCAGCCAGTCTCTACACAATCCAAAGCCAGCTTGTTTTTTTTCAAATTCTAAAGTCACAGCATCTTTCACCCTGTGCCATATCACTGTAGAAGACTTTTCTCAGCACAAAGCAAGGCCACCTCTTCAATGTGTGGCATCTTCACCATAGGCATAAACTCATTGACCACGCTCTCATTCCTCAGGCACAAACAGTTCTTCACACTTATTAATTTACTTCTTCCCCATTATTTAAGGCTTTTCTCCCGACACTCTTTGCTTGCTCTATGTTTTTGAGCATGATCACTTTGGCCTGTGCTTTCCATTGCTGTTCTTACCACAAAAAAAAAAAAAAGGGCAAAATATTCAGGTTCCCCAGTTACTTTGAAATGTGGTGAAGCTGAGCCTGGTCACAAGTTCTTTGAAATGCACCACCAAGCTCTTTTTTGGTTCTGCCTTGGTAATGAGCACTCTGTCTTTGCTCTTCATGGCTCCATTTGCAGTTCAGAAGTTTCCCTGATGTTTATATTTTCTAAAGCCTCTGTAACTTTCCAGCATAGTAGAAGCTTCCAATTCAACCACAAGGCTTTCAGGCATGTCTCTATTGCCTCACCCTGCATCATTTTTCACTTCTTCGGCCACTTTTCTCATGGGCTTTCTTTGCATTTTCCAATAATTTACTATCAACATTTTTTCAGCACTTTCCCTTGATCCAGAAGTACCACGTGCCATATCCAATAGCTGCTGGCTGTTGATATTCTTCTGTCCCAGTTGCAACATGAATTACATTGTCTAGAAGCATGAAGCAATTTTTCTACACATCCAATCTCTGTTTCAGCTTCCTCTGCCAGTCACAGATTTATTTTTCATTTCAGGTTAGAATTTCCCACAGAACTCTTCAGTTTTCTATTTTGTTTGCTGATTCAGGCTTTTTCAGCCGTGCAAGGCAATGTCTGTTGCTCAGGAGAGCTCCTGCTCCATGTGCTTCATGTGCTTTTGTGGCTTGGGTAAAGAATCTGCATTTCGGGTTCTGCAGGGAGGCTCTTGTATACAAGGCTTTTCCTGGAATATAATTTCAGCATAAAACAGGTTGGAATCTGTTTCAACAAATGAGTCATTAACCAAGACAGAAACACGCTTCTAATGAGTAAATACTTATAGGAGCAGAAAAAATACAAAATTATTTACTTTGTATACTATAGCTTCTGAGAGTGCCTAAACACCTTCATCCATTTGGATTTTGTTGGACTTCATGGCCACACAACTTGTCAGGCTATTAGTCCTGGATGCAGAAGCTGTTGAACTTGCACAGACAAAACTCATTTGGGCGAACAGACCTTCCTCTCACAAATACTGCAGAACTCCTGTACAAAGGTTGAGATAATCCTCTGCCTTCGGCCATTTCTCTCTTCGTGCACTCAACCTGAAATATGATCTGTCCCAATTATCCCAACTGTCCCCATTACCCTGCCTAAAGCCAGGAATGCAGCTAAGTACTGTGGTGAATTAAGATCTCTGAACTCACAGGCAGGAGCTGAATTAGGGCAAAAAAAAAGATTATATGCAAATGAAAATAAGGCTGTGTAACCTCTCCTTTGTCTGCAAACTATTTATGTAACAGACCCTTAGGGAAAATAATTCCTGCCAAATAAAGTGTGCATCCATTAAAGAAAAGTAAAGAATATCTTTTACCTCTAAGCTACTGGAGATTTTGATTTTAGAAATATAGCAATGGTAAATATTGTAAATTCAGAGATTAACAGTAATTTCTGAAGATCTGCACATGGCAGTGAAGATAAAACTGTAGTACATCATTCCCCAACATTCAATTCTAACAAGGGGCAATAATAAGAAGAAGAATAACAGCAACAACAACAACTTCCTCAGTTAAATCTCCTGTTACTTTCTCTAATGTAAGAAAGAACCTCAGAGTGAAGAATGTTTGTACTGATGGCTAAACTAGACCTGTAAATGAAGTCAAGGCCTGTAAGTTCTGCCTCAGTATTTATATGAACTTTAATCACCCTTTGTAAATTTTCTGCAATAGACAAAACATCTTAAATCAGAGAAATCATTAACATTATGAGCACTCCTTTGTATTTGTAAGGGAGGTTTTCTTCTTGAACTCTACAGACATCTATGTATCTCTAGGCTTTCAGGA